GTTCAAGGCCATGCAGACAGACATGTGTGGGCCACGCTTCCCCTCTTACTGGGACTGCTGAGCAGTGCTGGTGAACACAACCTGCCATTTGTGTCTCTGGCATCTCATGACCTCCGTTTAGGTGTCAGGCCCCCCTGAATACTTGGTGGTGCTGCTTTACAAACAAAACAAAAAGAACTCAAGAAAAGTGGGAGGCCAAGTAGATGCTCAGCGGATGGCATCTGAGGAGGTCTTCCGTCTCCCTGAGTCCATGACATCTGCTGATTGTACTTAATCTGGTTTGTGCCAACTAGGATAGCATAGGCGCCCACCCTGAGGCCAGGTGCAGTGTGAAACTGTTTAGTACTTAGTGGATGCTTAGAAACTTTGAGAAAAGTTATCTCATACCTTCCTCCAAAGAAAGGTAGGATTCTGTGATGGTAACTTTGCTCAAAAGTCAGCTTTGCTTGAGACAGTAAGGCCTGCCTTACTCTGTGGGTTTACCAATAGGACGCCCCGGCTCCCTCTGGGAATCTGTCCCATCCTGGTTTTTTTGGTGATATTCTAGAGTAGAGTAAACTTGAGGATGTTTCAAAAGTAAAGTTGATATGTAGTGCCTTCTTTATATGGAAAATGCCGTTATCTAAGAAGACACCTGATGGATTTTTGAGTGGCCCTAATTTGTGTACTGGTAGTTTTATTTGAAAATGGTCACTTTTGGAGCCATCAACACACAAATGAATAAGAGATGTGTTTACTGGGTGTTTCTAAAACTTGCCTGCCAGGAAAGCTGCACTTCTATAGAGAGAGATACAGAGCTGGGTGCTTTTGGAATTGAAGAATCATAGAATGTTAGAACTGAAAGAACCACAGGTATCCTTTAATCTACTGCAGTTTTACAAATGAAGTAAAATTAACCTAGTGCAGTGGTTCCTAAATGCTGATACTTGACAAAGTTTTCACTCAGTTGAGGCAAAATGAGAAAAATAAACACAGTTGCAGTGAGCTCTTCATAAAGTTATATGTATTCAGTTTAAAGACCTGTCTGTTATCCTGAAATTATATATTTTGGGGTTAAAATTGTCTGATCTTTTTTGTAGTGATGGTAACAGTAGATAGCTGTGCTTTTAAAAATACCTTTATTTTATGAACTAAAAATTTTGCAGCCCTCTCTCTGTTTCCAGTATTGAGGATAGAGGTGCATTTTCCTAGTTCTTGGAATAGCAATCTGGGAACCACTGACCTGCTATATCTGCCTTGTAGCTTGATGGCTCTCGACTAGGCAGACTCCAGGAGGAAGAGAGCTGACCCTCCCCTGCCTGGGTGCCTGTCCTGTTCAGTGGAGGGATCAGCTGAAATGGCTGCGGTCCAGAACTCTGAATCTTCATTCAGCTGTCCTTGTTTAATTAGCAACTCTCAGCCCCTGGGACTTGAGGGGCGTTTCTTGAGAAGCCAGGGTACCCAGAGGTTCCAGAGCTGGACCGTTGTTCACAAATAGAGCCTTAAAGTAATGACTCTCAAACTCCGTTGCCTGCTAGAATCACCCAGAGAGCTTTATTAAAATCCTACTGCCCAGGTTGTGCCCCACCCCATACTAATTAAACCAGACTAGCTGGGAGAGGGAGCCAGACATCCATTGTGCGCGCGTGCGTGCTTGCGTGTGTGTGTGTGTGTGTGTGTGTGTGTGTGTGTGTGTGTGTGTTTTATCCCCTGGTGTTTTCAGTGCATAGCGAGGAATCTTGGCTTTGAATTTCCTAGGCAGAGGTTCTGAGCATGGTGTTTTGAGGGGAGTGACTATTGCCCTGTTGGTTCTGACAGCTGATCACCAAAGAATTTCCGGGGGCACAGAACACAGTAGGCCCCCTAACTTATAAAACCAATGATCCAGGTCAACTGGAGCACCATAAACATGGAAGTCATCAAGAGGCTCTATGGCATTTGGTCCTTCCTCCTGATTTTCTGCATAGAAATTCAGGTTGTAAGATGGTCCTGGAGCCACTTTGGAGCTTACAACTACAGGCAGTCGTTTTCAGATAGCGTTATACATACATACTAACTCTTACAAAATCAAGGATTGGTCCATGAAGAAATGGATGTGTAATTGAGAAGATTTACACCATCAGGCACTTCCATTCTTACTGCTCACCATCTGAGTATTGTATCCTTAGGACCCATCCTCTTCTTCCCCTCCTCCCTTAAGGGATCCTGCCTCCACTGAGGTCAGTCCCTTTGCTGTGTGCATCCCATTCTTTCCTGCAAGCCTTGGGCTTTTGCTCCCTTAGTTTCCACCTCTTCTGCCTCCACACTTCCTTCCCTTGCTACTCTCATGTGTGCGCTGGATTCCCGAATCCTAAACAGCCTGCATTTGACCCCCAGGCTGCCCGCCTCACCTGCAATTTTATTTCTCCGCTTGTAGACCTGCTGCGTGTGCTTTCTCCTGCCTGCTCTGCCTTCCCCTCCACTGTCTGTTTTCTTCAGGAAAATCTCCAGAAGGCCACCAGTGAGTGACTCCTCGATGACTGACCGTCCCTTTATTTGTGAGGTCCTCCCCTCTGCTAGTTTCTGTGGTGACATGGTTGTCTGGTTCTGCTTTCGTCCATCTTCCTTTGGTCCCGTATTGGTTTCTGTTTCTCCTGCTACTGTTGGTCATGGACTGCATGCAGATTGGTCCTCCTTTTTCCACTTACTTTCTCTTGTCTACTCCCAGATCTCCATCCCCAGTTTTGACCTATCTCTGACCTTCATTCTTCATTTCAGACTTTTGAATGGACTCTTCAATAGGCCTTGTTCTTAAAGGGAGTCTGTCCTCTTCTACTGGCCCCCACCACTGATGCTTTTCCATCTCCACTCAAGGCGTCCCGTTTTTCAGGTTACTCAGAGCAAACTTCCGTTGTGATTATTGAATCCGCCGTCTCCTTTACACATCTTTATCCCTGACGGTTTCACCATATTATGTTGATTCCTTATCTGTAGTGATCTTTTTCCAATCCTGTGGTTACCACTCTAGTGTAAGTCTAGACTTTTCTTCCTGAAACCGTATTCCTCTGCTTGAGAACCTGACCTCATTAGCCATGTTTCATGGAGCTCCATAGTCGAATCTGCTCACCAAACTGCTTTCCAACCCCATCTCGCCCATCTTTCCTGTGCAAACCCACCTTGGAACTTCCTTTACACTGTTCTCTTCTCTTGGCTCAATCAAATCCTACTCCTCCTTAGAGTTTTCCTTCCTCTATAAACTTGGCTTGTACAGGAACAGGAAGTAATTTTTTCCCTCCAAATTCCTTATATTCTTATTCTTTTTCCTCATGAGCACTTTCCTGTTTTGTATCATTGATTTTCACGTGCTCTCCCCTACCTGCTGGACTGTAAGCTCTTGGAGATCAAGGACTGTCTTCTCAGAGCATCGGCCCTAGGACCCGGGTTTTCAGCATGTTTTTGCAGGTTAATTTGATGTTATGGGTGAAGCTTTCAGTTCCTTTCCTATAGCAAGATAAAAATTGGCTGGGGATTGGTAAAACTAATAGTTCCACTGAGTGAAGGAAAACCTTAAAGAGAGATAACAGAGTTTTCTGGAGAAGTGATTTGAGAAAGATCTTCCCTGACTGGGAATTTAGTATAGAACATTAGGGAGTGATTGAAATAATAGAGTTTGCCTTAGTGGGTGGTGTAGTGTGTAGCATATTGGTTAAGAGCTTGATCTTCAGTTATGTGATCTTTCTGAGTCCCCTCCACTCCTGATTTATAAGAAGGGGATAATTGTGTCTGCTTCACAGAGCTATGAGCACTGAATGAATTAATAAAAGCACCGTGAATTGTTAGCATATTTCCTTTTCAATAAATGGTGGCTTAATTTTGGTTTGCCCATTGTAAAGGATGCACCATAAAGGTGCCCTCTCTCACTGGAGAGGCAATTACAGGTAATGCAAACAAGAGCCCTTCTGACTCCTGGCTTGGAAATCTAGATGTGCAGCTCACACATTAGGGTATTTCAATAGCCCAGAACAGGGGTCGGCAAACTGCGGCTTGCGAGCCACATGCGGCTCTTTGGGGATGTACATGTGGTTCTGAAGTAAAATTGAAAATGAAAATAAAACTATCATAGTTTCATTTATAAAATTTTCAAAGGATATTATTCACATAATGGTGATTTCATTTGTTTTATGGCTCTCAAATAATTTTTAAATTGTTGTGAGGGACAGGATTGGCTCTTCTGTCTCAAAAGTTTGCCGACCCCTGGCCCAGAAAATGCATATTGAGCATCTCCCTTGGAGGGGTTTTGGTGGATCCTAAGACTAGAGGGATGATAAAGGCATAACCATTCTGTCCCAGAGGAACTGATAAGAGTGGAGGAAAAGTTAGAGAAAGGGAAGAAAAGGGAAAACGCTAGGAGAGATTTTGTCCTGACAGGAGACTTTCTTTTAAGGTGCTTTTCCAAGACATTGAGGAGAAAGTACCATGGTGTTGCAGTGCCTTTGGGGAGTCTAGATGACAAGGGATTGGCCTGCGAGATGTCTGCCCAGTTGGTCAGGGAACCGTGCTAGTGAGATAAGAGTTCTGTCACTGGGAGCCAGTTTAGTCTTCTCTGTTCATGGCCACAAACCATGCTGACCCTTGACCCTGACTCTTCTCCAACTCGGGCTCCTGCAGGACAGCTTGGGTGACCTTCACTGAGCATCTTCTCAGTGTTTGTCCCACTGATGGAGCAAGAGCACCATCTTTTTATTACTGGGAGGGCTCCTGAAGAATGCATAAATGAAGGATGCTGGGAAAATCTTAAGTGGACTCACAGAAATTAAACATCCCACTTATCTGTCGTCTGTGCATCTCCAGCCAAATCCAGTTTTCATGTTTAAGATGAATTAACCTTCACCTTTAAGTGGGAAAGATTATCTGAGGCTTTACTTCCTTGGGGTTGTTGGGAAAGGAATTTACACAAAAGTCTGAGGAAGGACCAGATTTTGCCTAGAGTTTGCAGAGATTGATGTAATTGGACTGAAAATGCTCCCCTTTTCTTTTCACAGGGGAAAGTGGAAGTAGAAGCTGGGAAAGAAGGTATGAAGTTTGAAGCCAGTGCTTTTTCGTACTATGGTGTCATGGCCCTTACAGCTTCTCCAGGTGAGTCTGTTTCACCCTCTTAAAGCAGGGCTGTGTTTTAGGAAATAGTGCCCTTCTACTGTCATCTCTCTGTCCCTGCCTGCTAACCCTATTTATTTACTCCTTGAACTTTTTATTGAAGTATATCATGTATACAGAAAAACTGCACAAAGCATAAGTATACACCTGTGTGAGTTTTCACAAACTGAACACTCCTGTGTAAATCAGCACCCAGATCCGACAGAACATCCACAGCCCTTCAGGACCCCCGCTGCCACACCCCCGCTTAGTCACTATCCCCCAAAACTGACCACTGTCTTGACTTCTGAGCATAGAGGAGTTTTTCCGTTTTTGAATTTTATATAAATGGGATTATACAGGATGTATTACATTGAGTCTGGCTTCTTTCACCCCATGTTGTCCTTGTCGCATTCACCTGCATTGTCATGTGAGCTTATATGACGAGGTGTGATCAGAAAATACGGTGAGTGTTTAAAATTTTAAAATTATTACAGTAAAAGACACGTTGCCATTAATCCCCTGCAAAATATTCCCCCTTGCTTTGAACACACTTATCCCATCGTTTTTGCCACTTTCTGAAGCAGTTCTGGAAGTCCTCTTTCGTGAGTGTCTTTAGTTGCACTGTCGTGGCTGCCTCAAATGTCCTGAATCAATTCAAAATGTTTTCTTTTCATGGTCATTTTGACTTTGGGGAAGAGCTAGTTGTATAGTGCCAGATCATGGTCACTGCAGCATCACCATAAACTAATTTTAGCATTTTGTGTGTTTCTTTAGCGATCTTTTGCAGTTTGAAACAAAATTTCATGAGTTGTTCGTGATCCCTGATTTATGCCACACTTTAAAACACACCTTCTCTCAACCGTAGCTCACACCTGACTGACTGCACTGAACAAGTTGAAACTTGTCACACACTGTTACTAAGGTTCGACACGCTGCTTCCCATATTGAAGATCCCTGCCTTTCTGTTGGATGGTACTCGGCAGCAGCATTCACCGTACTTTTTGATCACACCGTGTGCTTTGTTACTTCTCATTGCTCTATAGTATTCCATTGTGTGAATGTACAGTGACACATTTATTCTTTTCATTGCTGATGGACACTGGGGTAGTTTCCTGTTTGGGGCTACCATGGATTATGTGGCTGTGAACACTCTTATACCTGTCTTAGGTGAATGTGTGTGCATTACTATTGGGTCTGCATGCAGGAGTGGAATTGTGGGGTCACTCGGTATGACCGTGTCTTTAGCTTTAGTAGCTACTGCCTGATGAATGGTTTTGCAAAGTGGCTGTAGCAGCTCACACCCGTTGCTCTGCACCCACCATTGGTATTGTTGAGTCATTTAAATGTTAACTGTTCTGAAGGTTTTAAATTTGCATTTTTCCTGAGGATAAATGAGGTTGTTAATATACATATTTATTGCAACCTATAGCCAGCTCTTACCTAGAGAGCTGGCCAGATGAATCAGTTAGCCTAGGGGTGGGTGTGCATTGGGGCGTTGACTAAATGCTCTGAGCACAAGATGCTAGCAGGTGGCGCTGTCCTACAGGAACATGGACACAGATGCCTGGCTCACCTCTGGGATGGGGCTTGAATGGTCCCTCTTGGCATTGCTTTTTGGGGCGGTGTGCATGTGCTTGCTACCTCACCTGGGCTGAAACAAGGCAGACTGGTAAAAGGTGCTGGAGTGCCACCTTGTGGCCAAGATATCAAACAATATGCTGTGCTAGGAAACAACTTTTACAAACCTCCAACTTAAAAATGACCCATCCTAAAAAAACACTGTCACTTCTGAAAACCAGTCTCAAAAGGGGAGAGAATACCTCCAGACAAGTCTGTTTTTGTGATGTTGGTCCTCACCTACTGCACCACACAATGTCTCAGCCACCCAAAGATGTTACAGTTAGAAAGCCAGGGAAGCGTTAAGAACTGTCTCACCTTTCCAAACCAACCCTGCTCCAGACGCATCTCCTCACTATCTCAGTGCCAGTTTTTGAGTGACATAGGCCAGTATCCCCATTGTCAACTGCTGGCTAACATCTAGTGTGAACGTGGACCTGTCCAACCCCACTTAATTAGTCGTTGTCTGCGGTAAACTTGAAAGTCATCTTCTGTTTTCACTACTTGTGAGGAGACAGGGAGATTCTTAACCAGGCCGAGAAGACCTGGGTTACAGCCTCGGTTCCATCATATACGGATTGCCTGACTTTGAGAAAGGCCCTTGGCTTCCTCGTTATCAAAAGGATATAACAAGATTACCTCGTGTGATAGTTGGAATAGAGTGTGATGATACTCACACGAGTGCTTGGTAACCTTTAAAGCACAAGAGGAAATGTTGGCATAGCAGTTAGATGTTGAGATCGTAATGGTTGTTAGGCAACCAACTTCAAATTAGCTGCAGGTTAATAGAATCAGATTTATAAGGTGGCTTTGAAAAGAAAGCTGGAAGAGTGCATTGTACATTTTTATGGATTACTGGTTCTTGAAGCCCGCATATTAGCTGAGTCCATACTGAACTATGGATTCATATAAGGGCAAGTTCCATTCAGAAAAGGAATTGAAGAGCAGGCCTTCCATATAGAACTAGCTTGTGGAGCTGCTTTACCTAGGTTAGAAATTCCAGAAAGGAAGGGGATTTCATTAATAGCATCTTATTACAAAGCCCAGTATTTTACTTGACTTTACAATTAGTATTTGGGACTTCGTATATTCATTCAAGATGCAATTAGTACAGTGATTTCAAGATAATTCTATTTATTATTGAGCGCCTAGAAAAAATCCTATAGTAATTGGTTATCAAGACCTTCCCAGTTATACATCAATTATACCTCAATTAAAAAAAATCTGCCCAGAAAATATGATTCCTGCCTGGTAGGGCCCTGTTGACTTGACTTTTCAATTAGCTGGAGCTACGGCTCCCTGTCTGAGTAAGCAGAGATGAGGATGACTTTGGTCTGCTATTCCCAAGAAATCTGTATATGACATTCTTTATTTACTTTCCTCTAGTAAATTAAAATTTTATATAGTATTCCAAAGCAATTCAAATCATCCGGTCAAAATGACAACCAGACTAAGAATGTAAATGAATTGAATAACTAATTGCTTGCTGTAGGCTGATTGGTGAAGGAGCGTGGGGTGTTGGCACAGGTAGCTTGCGTCATGCTCTTGGCCCGTTGGTTAATTGAGCTCCCCTTTTGTGCTACTAGTTGTGATTTAAGTCCTGAAGAAGAGCACGTTTTGAGCTATAACCCAATGGGGTATTAGTGGCTGAAGAGATTTCTGGGTTCTGAAAGAAGCATGTGAACAGGATTTCTCCTGACTTCAGCTCCCTGTATTCCTCTTCCTGGAAAGCGGTGTGTGTTCTTTCTTGTTTACATAATATCACACAGGCGTTTGCATTTCTGGAATCCATGGCTCCTAGTGGTAGCTCGCATTGGTAGAACAGGTATCCATTCCTGTCCCCAATTACAGAGATTTCCTTTCTTGTCTTTTGATATGGTCTCACCCTGTTTTTCTCCATTTTTCAGTTCCTTTGTCCCTGTCTCGTACCTTTGTTGTCAGCAGAACAGAGTTGTTAGCAGCAGGTTCTCCAGGTAATTCTGCATGTTTCCTTTTCCTAATTCTTCTGCCTGCCTCCCTTGACCCCGCAAAAGCCTGGCTGGCCAGGTCTGCTCCCTTTATTTGGTCAAGACCTTTTTCAATTTTTCTGAGTTCTAAAACTTCATGTTTCTATGACTTAAAAGTGAACTATCCAGGAAAGGATAAGTCCACAACAGATGCAGGAAGGGTTTAGGAGACTGGTAGGGAGTCTAGGAACGTGAACAGAGATGAAACATGGGAAGGGGAAGGTGATTCTCACCTCAGCTGTCCAGGTTCCCTGCCTGACCCACCCACACGGCTAACCTAGGATTTTCAGGGCAGCAAAGGCAGCAGCTTTGGGTTCTTTCTCTGACCTCAGCTAAGGCATGTCGTCTGGAGTTTGCTGAGGTCCCACGGGCCTCAAAACCCGAGGATGCTTCTATAGAACACATACCGCCAGAAGCCTGAAGGACTATGAACCTGCCGAGGCCCCCAGCCTTCCTGTCTCTTTGGTCCTTCCAGCATCCATATGAACGGGGTGCGTGTATTTCTTCCCTCTGGCAGGCAGGTGGCCCCACTTCTCCTGTGTTCCTCTCTTTGTTTTGAAATTTGTACCCTGCACATTCCTAACCAGCTGCTGGTTATCACCCTGCCGGAGAGTTTGGTCATGATGCCTGGATAGTACGCCCAGCTGCTGAATGAAAACAAAGGCAAAGGTTTAATCTTTCTTTAATTAAAATTGCTGGGCTTTCTTATTTGGTAATACAACTTTTCTGTATTTATTTTGTTCCATGCAGCTTATATTTTTTAATCTGATGAAATTTGATTTCATAACCCAGTTTCAGCAAAACTCTAAAATGCTGATATTTGGTAAAAGAGGCAATACTTGTTTTAGAAACCAATATTTCCTCAAATCTTTGCCCTTAAAAAGTTTGTGGTGTTTGGGGGTAAGATATTATTTATGAGGCTATTTGAATCAAACCAGCTGGCAGACTGGCACACACACACGCATATACATGTGCACACATATCTTTGCACATAAACATGTATTTATGCATATGTATATATGTTTGTGTTTTTTCTCCCCATTTTATTTGCTGGCATCTGCCACCTATTTAAAATGTCACAGAGGCTGCAGTAGAGTGACTTTTGGATGAAGCTTATGGAAATGTCATTTGTATTTTATGTTTCCTGTAAAACTTAAGAGATTTCTTAGCTCTGCCTACTTCATCCGATCCAGTAATAGAAAAATCCATTTTGTGGGTCCAGGCCTTCCGGGATGCTGGAATTCCAATAATATACCTAATAAGTGGGGTTGAACTAAACCAGTGGTTTCCAGCCTATTCCAGAAGGTGCCTATGGTTCCAAGGGAGGAGGCTAGGAGTGTTTCTTTATTGTATCTTTCCAGCTTCGCAGCAAAAAAGAAAGGATTCCTAGGTAAGATGAATAAAATGAGCCAGAAAGACAAAAAGCAGAAAGAAAACAATTCTGAGAGGGCATAAGAGGGATTAAAATTAAAAGTTGTTTTCAGAATTATTGTCTAAAATTTTGGCACATAAATTTGGCAACAAAGCATGACCTGAACTGGGGAGCGGCCACAAAGTCTTTATTCTCCTTGGAGTGAATATTCACATACCCCTTTGCATGGTGATGAAAGGTCAGTCATGCTTGGGACCTGTCCAGCTGCAGAAGGGGTCCTGGGAAACAGAGTCTGCTTGTCCAGACTGGTCGTGACGCCAGGCGTTGTATTCCTGGCAAAGGAGAGGGCCCATCTCGCAAAACAGAGGCACTGGGTTGAAAGGAAGCTGTGTAGGTATGTTGGAGGACCAGAGAAATTGCCACGTAACCCTCCTCAGAAGAAACTAACTGGAGACTCAGAAGCACTGCGTCAGGCCCCAGACATCTACCTGCCAATGCACAGTGTCTGATCAGTAAGCAGGTGCCCTTTAAATGTTTCATTTTTATAACCTTTAAATTGTTACACACAGAAGTAAACACCATTCTGAAGGTGTCTGTAGTAATGGTGATGTGATTTGGGGCTAAAGTCCAGAGATATAGTGGGAACCCTTGTTTCAAAGAACTGGTGGGTCTGTCGGCCTGGGTGAAGGTACTGCAGGTATGGGAAGGCTTGATCAGGGTAGCAGGCACATGGTGGAGAGGCCTGGGAGGGAGCTAACGGGACCGAATAGAATAATGGTAAGCAGGCTCATTTACCGGGTACTTACTGGGTGCCAGATGCTGTGCTAAGTAAGCACTCGACTATACATGATCTCATTTTGATACTCATCAGACCTCATGAGGTGGGTACTATTATTATCAGTCTTTTATAGGTAAGGAATCTGAAACTTAGCAAAGTTGGGGTATCTGATCAAGGTTACATTCTGCTAAATAGAAAAACTTCTGATTAATTATTAATTTGCCTTGTTCTCTTAAAAGATAAGTGGAAACAACAAGAGGAACTGCTATTCTGAGTTTAATTTTGACATAACAGTGGGAAATTGGTTCATGACATGAAAATTGTGGGGAAAGTTGTGACATGAAAATTTTAGCAGAGGGTAAACTTGTCATTTGATGTTCTTTGAGTACTTACCATATTTTGTTCTGGGTGTCTTATTTTAAGAGGGACATTTACTGAATGAAATCTTAGACAATACTCAGGACAGGGTGAAGGGTGGTAAAACGTGAGGTGAAGAATGGTTGGATGTATTTATTGGGTTGTCGGAAAAGCCATGACGTATTTTTTCTGTTTTTTATTGCAAAAATGCATCATGACTTTTCCAACAACCGGTAGCTTGGAGAAGAAGAGAACATAACTGTCTTTGAACTTTGAACTTTGACTATTTCAAGTAGCAGGAATGAAAGCTACTGAGTAGATCTCCACAGATTGGAGGGGAGACTTATTTGAAATTGGGTATGCCGATCTCAATGGGCACGATGATAGACTTTGCAATAGCTGAAGGCGGGGGTGGGGGGGTGGGGAGCATCTGTCAGGGACACATTGTAAAGAGGAGTCAACCATCAGATGGGAGAATTGGTCCCCTCCAATCCTGTGACATGATGCAATCCAGGAACTGTCCAGTGTGGGCACCCGCTTACTGTTTGTGGAATAGATTTGATTGGGAAAGCAAAAATGGAAGAAGCCTTAGCCGAGTGGGTGGGGCTTATTTTGAAGGAAATTTATATTAGAAGCTACAGTGAACTTGCCTTTAAGAGCAACATCACTTAGACTCACCTGAACTTCCTTTCACCTTGTTTTAATGAAAGAGTACTGTCGATCTCATTGAAGACTCACACAGCACCTGAGGTAACTTAATCAAACCTCCTAAGGGCTTGGTGTCTCCTAGGGTTCTTGAAACCCAGGAGACATCCTCGGGCTGCCTGAGGGAAGTTTTATTGGTGTCAGAGACAGAGATAATAGGTTTGGCTGGGAGATAGGGTATGAGCAAACAGAACTCTTGAGCCCTTTAAAGCAGGGTTTTATAAACGTTATAAATGTTTTATAAACATGATCAAGAGTCCTTTGCTATTGCTTCTGGCAGAATAATGAAGTGCTGCCTTCCCATTGCCCACGTTTTGTCTCACGGACCTTCTGTGCTTGGGCCTCGCTTCCCCCTGGTTTATATGTTTCACAGCCTTGGGTGATACTCTGACCTAGGTGTGCGGCCACAGGGCCTGTGCTGTCGGAGAAGGATGACTGTGCTTGTTCTCATGAACGGGGCTGAGCACTGAACTAAATGGAACCCGTCACCGACGGGGAGCCATTGTGTTCTCTCTAGGAGGGCTGTATGGTGAGTTGGATGGCTGAGGCGTCTGGTATAAGTTGACTGAACTTGTCTACTTTTTTTTTAATTACTTTTTTTATTTTTTGGAAAAGAAAAAGCTGCCTTTATTGGTTATATCTACCTCACTTAAAAGGTGGTTGGTTGTTTTTTTTATCCTTTTCCAGGTGAAAACAAGTCACCTCCTCGCCCATGTGGCTTGAATCATTCAGACTCTCTCAGTCGAAGTGACCGAATCGACGCCATCACACCGACCTTGGGGAGCAGCAATAATCAGCTCAATGCTTCATTCCTTCAAGTGTACATCCCCGATTACTCAGTGCGCGCCCTTTCTGATCTCCAGTTTGTTAAGGTAAGAGCAGAGCGCGCCGCTGGGCTGGACCTGGCAGTTTGAGGTCAGCTCCCCAGCCCCTCTGCGCAGCTTCCCCTTGTCGTTTTGTGGGTGCTCCGCCTCTAGCTACCGTGCCCAGGACTCAGGTGGGAAAAACATTTATCTGCTCGGCTCTGTCACATGAGCTGCCAAATCAGATGTGGCCTTTTCAGGAATGAGCACTGGAGAGCATGAGAAAAAGAATAAACCTTTAAAAACAAATTTTCATGAGCTCAAGACTCTAGTGACACCGGTTGGCCCGGAAAGGGCTGAGGTCGGAGACAGAAGACTGGCCGGGAGGGGGTGGGGAGAACCCTCCACTTATCTGGCCTGGAGACGGTTTTTTTCTTAGTCTGAAATAAAGACATGTTTTGGAGAACGAGCCAGCTGTAGCTCATGGAGGCCTACCTCCTTTTCCTAGTCTCTGAAATTTTGAGACGAAACTTAGAAATGGCTTATATCAGTAATAGCTGACTTGTTCGCCAGTCAACTTGAACTTTAAAAAGTGGCTCAGTTTTGTACTCAAGGATGACTTTGTCTTAAGAGTAACTGCTAGGGGCCTATTGGGGGACTTAATGTGTAAAACAATGTCCAGACAAGTGAACCTAGAAATAAGCATTATCTTGGTTTGTTTCTGTACCATCTTGTGGCCCCAGATCTCAAGACAGCAGTACCAAAATGCCTTGATGGCATCCCGGATGGACAAAACTCCTCAGTCTTCAGACAGTGAAAACACTAAAATTGAATTGACTCTTACGGAGCTGCACGATGGGTTGCCAGATGAGACGGCCAACCTGCTCAATGAACAGAACTGTGTGACGCACAACAAGGCCAATCATAGCCTGCATAACGAAGGCGCCATCTAGGGCGTACCCCCCAGCCCTCACCCCTCCCGTTCCTGAGGCCCCGAACCAGGCCACTGGGCCTCGGCCTCCGACTGACCGTGAATCCCATTAGTGTGAGCTTGTGTGCCATGCTGCATCCTGCAACATCCTGAGACCAAAGACTTTGCCCCTTCCTGGAAGCAGCAGAGGAGGACCCTGAGGGCAGGAATGGAGACTAGAGCTGGGAAACTGACAGCCCCGGTGTGGCTTTCGAGATTTGGGAGATGACCTTCTTCTGCCCAAATAGAATCATGTTTATTTTTTCAGCTGTACCTTTTATTGTTATTCACTCTCCTCCTTCCTTGATTTGCATGAAATTGAAAATTGTTGGGATTTATTTTTTTTCAAGAGATCATTGTTTTTAAAAAGTGTTTTTTGCAGAGTTTTAAGTTGTCCTGCCTGGACTCTGCTGTGACCCCATGATGTGACCCTTAATAGGATGGACTTGCCCCTCCAGTGGCCTTTCTTGGCCCACCCAGGGAGGGGCACCCTTCCTCCATGCCCCAGTGGGTGTCGCTGTCGAACTTGAAGGATGAATGAAGAAAACCCGTGTTGCCGCAGCCCTGCCAGCCCGGGCCTGAGGCGCGGAGCCTGCACAGGGACCTGCACGCGCCTCTCTGAGCTCAGGGTTGTTTTCAGTTAATGTTTAACTGTGTCCCTTTCCCTCAGAAAGGTTTAACATTTGCTTGGAATGTGATTTTGCTCCCGCTCTAAGGAATTTTTATCACGAAAATGAATGTTAATTAATTTTAAACCCATGGTTTATCATTGGCAAGAGGCAAGGTGACTTCATCCCGACATCCCTACAGCCTGGGATCTCTGGCTCAGCCAGGCCTCCTCCCCGCCCCAGTGCCCCAGCTCACCAAGCGCCGTCAACCCCCCACCCCCATCCCCCCATCCTCGCTCTTGTTAACCCAAGATGCTGCTATACAGATGCCAAACGGAAATCTTCCACAAGGCTTTTGAGTAAACACGTGGTGTGGGCTTTAAGCGCCTCCTCTTCCCATTGGACGTGTGTAATTGTCAGAAAAGGTCGACCTTTCGGCTGCCCTCTGTGCTCCATGTCGAGAAGGCATTTCTAGACCCATATGTTTAAAGGAGGGAATTTTGGGGACTGCCAGCCCCCGCCCCTCCTTCCAGGGAGTCAACTGCCCCTCTCCCCCACTGTCCCTGGGCCCTTGGGCACAGCCGTGGCTGTGTCCCCCGCCCGAGGACCCCTGTGCCTCCCGCCTCAGATGCGGCCCACGCCAGAGAGGCTGACTGTAGCCAGGGTCAGCTTGGCCCCAAACGGATTCAGAAACCAAATGTGTGTTGTGGCCATTTCATGTGTGTCTGTCTTATTTTAATACCAAATTCATCACGTGTAGTGAAATTAATGTCAGGAGGTATTACTTGAGTGACTGCATTCTTAACTATCTTATCTGTGTTTTAAGTGTTAGCCTAAGGGCTATGTGCATTTTGTTGGCAACATTCGTACACTGAAATGAATTCATTCTGACCCCAGTTTTCATATAGAACTGTCAGTCCACGCTGCGTCCAGTCATAGCTAAGAAGACAGCGTTCTGTCCACTGGGTCCCACTGAATGAAGGGAAGGCCCAGGGCTAAGCAGCAGTTTGCTTCTTCCTCCTCAAGGTACGAACGTGCACCCCAGGCTGTCTCTGCAGGGGTGGGAGCTAAGCCTGCGTAATAACCAGCAGTGTGCTGGGCTTGCCTTCTAGCGAGCAGTTCGGTGTCGCCAGTGTCGTGTGCATGCTTGGCGAGTATTTCCTCTGGGATGTCATTCCTGGAGTGCCTTCCTCAGAAGATGCCCTGCCCCTTCGTGTGGGAAGTACTGGCTTCACCTCGAGGTGGAGGGTCATGAGGGTGCCCCCTAAGGGGGCTGAGTGGCCTGCTGCTGGCACCCAACGTGCCACTTTGGGATGGGGCCCCCACCATGTAGCTTGATGTTAATGGGACCCTGCACCCTGAGTATCCCTTTTTATAAACATCCATCCATGTTAAAAATCTGTTTCATAAGATGCTTCTAGCTGAGCACAGTCCCAGCGTGACACAGAAACGGGGACTATCTGTAGGGTCCACAGAAATGAGAGTTCGCTGTAATGAAGTGGAGCCTGGGCCACTCTCTTGGCCAGAACAGCACCTGCCTTCCCTGTGGTCTGGTGGAGCGTGGCCTGCCAAGCCGCCCATCAGCTTCTCCTGGCTGCTCTGTTTCTCCACATAGTCCATCTCGGGGTGCCTTGCTACTGGAAGGAGCCCCTGGAACCACAGTTAATGTGTTGGATCTTTTTCAGAGCCCCACTGTCCCTTTATGAATCCTAAACCTTGGTGAGAGTCAGTCTGGGCAGTGGAGAGAGGGTTCTAGCCGCTGCCTCCTTGGCTTCAGGGAGAAACAGAACTTCTCAATGCTGTCTTGTCTTCAGTGTGGTGGCCGTTTGAAAAGTCCTCTCTGGAAAGGAGCTGGCAGGCTGGCTTTGCAGTGGGGCTACCAGAGGACGAACTTTTGGCCTCCCAAGTTTGTATTTATTTTCTATACACTACTCTTTACCTTTGATTATTCACACTGTCTTATAGCAGCGGGGGAATCCAAAACAATTCCTGTCTGGTCCCTAAAGGGATGAGGGCTAACATTTGGCCATAGTTACATCGGCTTTGGGGAAAGCTCCAGACCCTTCGAATAACACTTAATGTCTGACAGATTTCTCCTCCAGGCCCCGCTTTGCTAGTGGAAACTAACTTCAGGCTGTTGAAGCAGCACCGGCTCATTGCTTCTCCAGGCAGCAGCAGAATGACTTTGGCTTAGAAGGTCTATGCAATTCCGTCTCTACAGTAAATGGGAGTCGGGCCGAGAAGGCCATCAGCCAGTTCAGGTGGCCGTGTGCGGCGGCCAGTCCTTAGCACCACGCCTGGGGCCGCGGTTTTTGTAAATGAGGCGAGTGGGCTGTGGAGTGGATGCGGCCCTGGGTCCTGAATTCAGCTGGAGCCCTTGTCGCCAGACCCAAGGCCTCTCTCCACGGTGGCTCCCGTGGCTCCTGCTGGGAGCCTCTTCCTGCTCCCGAGCAGACACTCTGATATCCCAAAGGTCCCACCCGGAACTGGGTTCCTAGCATCCACATGTTCCCAGGACCGCCTGCTTTCTCTGTAATCACAGTGGCTTTTCCCCCACTGCCTTAGAGGTTCTCTCCCTTTATTTCTCTGTTTTATAGTCATCAGGCAAATCCAAAATCATATAAACTCTTGGGAAAACAGATCCTTAAGATTTGTAGATGGATATTGGGTGCTGATCAACTAGCTTAGGCCTTGGTTCTTACAGAGTTTGAATGTGAAGGGGCGCCCTAACTCTGTTCTTCCTTCCTTCCTCACCTCACTTCTGGAAACGAGCTCAGCGCCCATGCTTGCCCCCCAAGGGGAAGGGAATAGGGCATCCTACCGTTTTTAATGTTATTCCAAGGAACTTTTGGGCAAACACTGAATGCAGAACTCCACACTGATACGGAACATTAACTGTGAATATATTTACCTGTGCTATCCTGAGGACCATACGACTAACGGACCAGCTTTTTCAAGTCTAGGAAAATAGCAGTAGATACAAATAGAATTGCATTTTCCCTAAGAAATGAAGCAACGGGAACTTGGGCTTAGCAGGGCACATGAACTTCTGCCCTCAAATTTCTGAGGTCGAGGAGCAGACCTAAGTTGGCCATGGCGGATTGAGCCTGTGTCCTGGCTGGTCAGAAACAAAAACAAAACCCAACAGCTGTCACCCTCTGAAAACCAGCCTGGGAGCAGTGGCTGTCTTCGCCCTTCCTGGGCCAGACCACCAGGATTCCTTGTGTTCCCCGGGAGTGAGCCCAGGCGGAGGCCTCCCCTGGGCCGGCACAGGGAGATGCTCACCTTGTTCTCTGGGATTCTAGGAGGCCACCAGGGAGCGTTGACTCGGTGCACATCATTCGACCCAACCTCACTGGTGGCATGGGCAGTAGGAACGACACCCCTCTCAGTTTTGACCTGAGACAGGTTTTTCTTGCAGGGGGCTGAGTGGGCAGTGTAGGGTGTGGAGGCTTCCTGAGGCATCGGAGCGCCTTTCCTGCTGAGCTTTTGACCTGGGTCAGGTTTCATCCCATCCTGGGCTCTGTCTGGGCTAGTGGTGCTTCTGTCCAGCAAGGGCATCCGGGTGAGGTGTAGATTAACCCAGAGTTAGGAAGGACTTAGAGAGTTCAATAGGAAAGTGATTTGAGGCTTCAGAAACTTTTCCAATATAAATTTATCAGTGATCAGACTACTCAGTGAATTTTGATACCTCAGGGCCATTTGTAAATCTTTCTTTTCATATTTATTTTGTGTTCACATGGGCTGATAGTTCAGAGAATTCTGAGGTTCATTTGCCTCCATTTGCGGGTGAGTGGTGCACCCACACCCAGCTTGCTGATGTTGTCGTCCCTCAAGGCTGGGATGGGGGGCCTTCCTCCTCTAGTACTTACTGCGTTCTTCCTGCCGTGGATGTTTCTTTCCTGGGTGTCTCCTCTGCCCAGTCTGGTCAGCCCGAAGGACAGGAGGGAGGAAATGGCAGTTCAAAGCAACTGTAAAGCTTAGAGCACCTTTCCTCCCACCATCTCGGGCTGGGGACCTCTGCTTCTTACATCTTTGTGGTTGGCTTAGCTCAAGTAAGCATTCCCTCCGTATATGCTGGAGCCACTGACATCCTCTCGCTAGAATTGTTTTAAATATCTTCTGATGGGAAATAACAGGCTGCACTTGAAGCAACCTGGAAACGAGGGTTCTTGCAGCGGGAGTGAAGTTCTGGGAGATTGTATGCCAAGGTTCACATGTACACAGATCCAACACACACTATTAGAAAGACTGGAGTCAGTCCATGTTTTCCAGTTTTAATATCCAGGGTGGGTATTCAACATGAACAAATTGGAAGAATGATGGGGAGTATCGTCTTGCCTTGCTTGCAGGGTATCTTCTGGCATTTGCCTACATCTGACCAACATGGATTCGCTCAGGAAGTGGTTCTTTTGCAGCCAGACTTTTTTTCAGATTCACCTGGAGAGAACTATCAAATGGCCCTGGTGGGGACCGTGTGCCTGACCTTTTTGTTGGAGGCCAGGACCCCTTGGTTATAAACAGCTGGTCTCCGGCTCCCAGAGCAGAAAGGAGTGGGAAGGAATAAGGCCTCGGGACTCGCACTCCCCAGAGCCCAGCCTAGCTGCTGATTCATTGTCCCGGTATCTGCAGTCGACTGTGAAGGTAGAGTGTATCAGTCCATTGACTTTTCTTGTTTCTGGAGTCCTTTAAGCCCACAAATGTATATGCTTTATTTTATATTATTTATTATGTACATATGCCTCTACTGTTAGTACATCATCTGTGACTAAGATGAGATCTCACTGGAGCCCCTCCCCTCGTCCATGGAGCCTAGGGTCCTGTGGTCCCTTCAAGTGGGTGAGAAGGCAGTAATTTTGTTTTTGTCTTAAACAGGTTGCTGCTCTTATGTTGGCCCGAGTGTCCCCAGCCCCTTTTATCGGGACCACCTATATTCCTGATGACCAGTGTTGGAACAGCAGGGGAGGCAGGTCTCTTACCTTGTGATAGGGCCTCCTAAGTCCCTCTGGGAAACACGTTAGAGGTGGTTCCTGTGCCTGGGTCTGTTCTCTATGCAGTGGGACAGCATGGCTGTGAGACCAGCGCCTCCTTCCTCACTCCCCCCCTTCCCGAGCCAGGTCAGTGGCCTGGCCTCACAACAGTCATAGTCTCTTAATTCGCACCTTGGAGTACAGAATCCGTCTGTCTGGACCATGGAAGCTGCCTGCCCATCTGGGCTTCTAACATGCCTTTTCTTGGTTTTGAGGCCCAGTCTTGGCCCTCAAATAAGACCCTGCTTTGTGTCTGGTTTTCCTCCTCCTCCTCAACCTTTGTTCACTGTATCATAGTGTACATTTCATGCTTTCAGCAGCGAAGTTTTCTGAACACAGTATTCAGAGCTGTGTGTACATAAACCTAAAGCACAAGTGACATGTATAGGTTTCATGAGCTGATTGTCATAATGAATGCATTTTATAATTCAAATGATGTTGTAGATTTACAATCTCTCCTATTTATTTTGTACCAATTTATTTGTAAATTTTGTGATTGTTTTCAAAGGTTTTTGTTCATTTCTATTATTCTATTTAGATAAATGATGATTTTCTGTTCACCGTTCTGGCGGGTGTGTGTTCCCTCTTTCCCCTTTCATCTATGCAACACCAGCCTTGGTCCCCTGCCCAATTGCATGGTTTTACTGGCGGGAAAGCTGGAATTGGTTGTCGGCATGGCAACACAGCAGGGTATTCATTTCCTTTGTATGTGTACCACAAAGTCATGTGTTAAAAGAGAAGTGGGTGCTGGAACTGTGCCTCTAGCTTCCAGTCTGGGACAGCTGATTCCAGGGAGGTGTTCCTTTGCAAGGATTATAGTCTGTCCCCCATCCGTTCATTTAGATAAGGACACTGAGGACGTCTGAGGATGTCCACTCAGACTGTTCCGGACATTTGCTGCTCAGCCACTAATCACACACAGTTCAGCTGGGCAAATGTCCAAGCTGTTTTCTTCCTAGACAAGTCCGAATGCCTCACCCAAGCCTCTCAGTTGGCCCTCGAAGACGAAAATGGCTCTGTGGGTCCTCTGCTACTCGACGCCTAGGATGGACAAAGGGCACGGCAGGCACAGATGGTTCACCCTCAAGTTAAAAACACTGGGGATGAGTGCGGTGAGTCACGTTCTGATGCTCTTCAGGATTTGGTGGGTGTCCCCCATTCCCTAATAATCCAGTGTGTGCGCTCCACACCCTCTTCCATCACCACTTCTTTTAAAAGCTGCTACTCTGTTTTCCCCTCCTCACTCCTATGGGACCAGACCCTGATCTTCTGGCCGCGGTTCACGGCCCCTCTGCGATCCATTTCTAGACCACATCTTTTTAGAATCCTTTTTCCTTTACTTAGTCTCTATGTTATAATCCAAAGAGGATCGTGCTCAGAGAATTGAGCCTCTTGATGACTGGTCCCTTCTTTTCCCCCTTATTTAATCAGATGTTTGCAGTTTATTTTACTTACACTTGTCGATGGATGGAGACATTTTAGCACAGAACTGACAAGATTGGCTTTGAGACACTGCCTGACCTAACCACCATCCCACCTCCCCAGTCACCCCATTTCTTCAAAGTAGAAGGTAGATGTGTGTTTCAGTGACGTGTCACCTTCTTGGGAGCCTTAGAAGCAGAGCAGGACCAGGAAGGAACAATTTCTCCAGCACACCCACTCTCAGCTGGCTGCTTTGCTTAGTTTTTCCTGCTTTACTTACTGTTTAGATGAGTCCTGAGCTCAAATTAGCAAAGTCTCTAAGGAAAATAGAGGTGATTTTTCCTCCTGTGAGATGAGATTTGCCTAAGCTTTCTGTCTGCATCCATGAAGTGCCCATGTTTGTTTCTAAGCTTTACTGTGAAAGCTCTGGGGTTTCTATTTCGTATTAGAATTTGGGTCTTCTGAGGGCCTCTTGTCAGGTCAGCACTTCCGAGGACACAGATAGTGATCAGAGGGTCTTGTAGAGAGAGTGGGTGGTACAAACTGAGTGACCTTCTCGTAGTCTGGAGTTGATTTCTGAACACTTATTTGATACTTTTTGAAGGTAATTCAATTTACTAGAGATGACTCCTTATTAAAGCCAACAAGGTGAATTATATTTGATAGGCTAATAAACTCTTTTCTTTGTATAATTTTCATCATTTTCCCTCCAAGATCCTTACATCTGTGCTCTTTTCAAGAAGTCCCAGAACAAAGGAATGGTTAGAGGGCCCTCCTTTCTCTGTGACATTCTGGGCATGCCCTCTCCCCTGGGGATGACTGTAAGGCCTAAGGATGCAGGGGGATGCAGATTTCTTTGTCAAAGTGCTTTCCTGCTGGGTGCCGGTGATTGTGAAGCACTCCAACAGCAGGCCAACACAGACAGGGAATTTTAGATGGAGCCGGCTTCCCTCCCACAGCTCTGCTCCATTAATGACTTCAGGGCCAGCGGTCCAAAGACAAGGCTACTTGCTTCAGAACACCCACACCCACAAGTCAATGTTACCTCTGGTGAGAACCCCCTCAAAAAAGGACTGGATGTAAACAGTCTTGTGTGTGGGGAAGGCTGGCTTGGCAAGTCCCCTTTCCCAGTATCTCAGGAACTTGTGAGACTTGGAAGGACCGTTGCTGTGTTTCATGGGAAGGACGCGCACTCAGCTGCTTGGGCTCCAGTGTGCTGTGTGGTGAGGTTTATCTTGGCCCAGACTCTTCAGGCCTAGTCTGTGGCCCTGGCTAGACATGGCTTTGGGGAGAGCTCAAAGGGACAGCAAGTGTGTGGGGACATACTTGGACATGAAACGATCTGTCTAATCTACCCTTTTTCTAGTAATGAAATGGAGCAAAGGTATCTTATTTAAATTTTAAGATTTTTATTAGGGAATTGGGGGATGGGAACAGTGCTGGGGAATTGGGGGAAGGGGAACAGACAAGTTGCTGTCCTTTTGCTCTTCAGTCTAGTGTGGAGGACGTCGCTTCA